GCGCTGTGCAACAAACCAAGCACACAACAGTAGTTTCTGCAGAGTTGTCCAAGAAGAGTGGTGGGTGGGGATGTGTGTTGTGTGTGTGTGTGTGATCGCGTGCGTGCTGGGCTCGTTGCTTTAGATGTTACTTTGGTGGTGCTTGTTTTGTGCTGAAGGTTTGTAGATAGTTCGGTCTTACGGCCGCTGAAGCTCGAGTTCCTCTTCCTGTGGCCGTACCTCCAGTAGTTGCACTGGCAGAGACCCAGTGAGTACGGTTGAAGCCCTCAACCCCAAGCTCGCTTCAGGACGCATCACATCCAAACGCCCCAAGCCCCTTCCAAGCCCGAACACAAACACTCAGCAACATGAAGAAGACCCTCGAGCAGGGCCTGGAAACCCGAACCTTCCAACCTTGAGCCCGACGCCCTGAACCCTAAACCCAAATTGCGAAACCCCATACTCCGGAGTTCTCTCTCTTTTAACCTCACTCCTCCACTGCCTCTGCCAAATGGGGGTTTCCGAAAATAGGGGACCCTAATATAGTACCCCAAATAATAGGATCCTTATTACAAGGACCCCAAAATAAGGTACCCCTAATTTTCGGAAACTCGCAAATCAAGGCTTGGCTGCACGCTGGGCGTGCTCTTCAGCCTTTGCCTCCCTGCGCTGCTCTACGCCTCACTGTCGGGAGACCCAAGAAAGAGGAGGGCACCAACACCATGAAGCCAGTGAGAACAATCAGGTGCAGAGACTAGCAAGAACAAGAGTAAGAACAAAAATAATGTGGATGGAGGAAATCTCTTCTGACGCGTGGCGGCGCGTCAGCAGTTGAAAAAACCTATAGGCTTCGCTGCCTTTCCCGCAGCTCGCAGTTGTCCACAAAGACGTGTTGATTTTACCGTGGTAGGCAACTCTCTAAAGCACGTCCCACAGTCCCACGCTGGGTCAAGCATAGCTCCTCACCGAGGTCAAGCAAGGTTCCCACTAGAGGTCAAACATAGCTCCCATGCTTCGCAAATGTGCCTGACCTGCCTGTTCCTTTTACCAAGGCTACGCGATGTGGCAGCCCTGAAGCAGCACAGCAAGAAGAGGCTAACTCTCTGGTTCAACATCGTTCTGTAGTGCTTTGTGTCGACGGCGCGCTTATTCCGACGACCCCACATACAGTAGCCATTTTTTTAGTTGGTTGGAGCTTCCGCCTGTGCTTGCCCTCAACGTAAGTAAGACACCTGCGAGTTTTTGGAAGTTCGTTGAACCACGAGGCCCATGATCCTTTCCGCCACAAGAGCATGCCCCAAGCCTCCATCGTAAACCTGCTGCAACGGGCAAGTTCCGTATCATGGCACCTGATTAGGCTCATCAAGCTTTCTGCACCTGACAGCACGTTTGCGCGCAAAGAAGACGTGCCACCGAAAATACACCAAATCGAGGACCCCAACTTAACCCACACAGCCCGAACCTGTAGGCCGACTCACCCGCGAAAGATCCTACAGACCCAGAGACTCCAATATCCCTTAATTCAGGAATATACCTTAAATCATAGTAGGATCCTTAATATGGTTTAAGGTATATTCCTTAATTATAAGGGATACTGGAGTCTCTGGGGAGATCATGGAGACCCGGCAGGGACCTCGAGGCGCCCCTGCTGCCCCGCCCCGAGCCGCAGCTGGGAGCGCCGCGGTGCAAGAGCGAATGCTTCTTTTGCTACGATCACGGCTGCTGTCAGGAGTGCTGCATTGCTACTTCTGTTTCATTTGGTGCTCTTACTAGGACCTTTAGTAGTCGTTTTGTGTTAAAGTTACATCTTGTTGTTGTCATCACGCTCATCCGTGCTGTGTTCTTGTTCGGCACCCGCATTCGGGTGCACATTGGGCATACGATTTTCCGGTGCACATGGAGTTCTTGCTTATGGTTGTGTTTTTTGGGGATCGCTGCCTATGATGACGACAACAGGCAGAGCAAAGGAAGCATTCGTACCACAGAAAGATCACAATGACAGCTTCTCAGGTGCTGACTTTGCCCAAGAAGCCAGCCGACTGGGCGTGCCAGTGGCTACTCGCCCGGTTGATGCTGCAGAAAGAGCTCCCGACCCCAAATCCAATTGCATTTGATTTCCCACCTGCCGTCGGTGCGAAGGACCATCAAGTTCCCCAAACTGCAACCTACGCAACAAGCTTAAAACTATGAACTGTACATCAGATGCTTACACTTCGGAACAACTAGGAGGCAATATGACGAGAGAAGTTTCACTCCAAACGTGTGCTCAATCTCCAACCAAGAAGCCGGCTTCTCAAGGCTACCACCACAAATTATTGGCTGTCCTTTCAAAGAGCCCCAGGAACCCGAAAGGTCGATTGCGGCCTGAAAAGTTAAGGATGTTGCTCACCCCTGTGCAAAGTACTGGGTTTCTGTTCGCAAGCTTGCCTGGGGTGCCCACAAGTGAATTGCGCAGAGAAGACATCAGATTTGTCCTGTTCATGAGGTGCGAGAGCCCCTGCGTAGACTCTTTTGCGGTAGCCACATAACCACTGACCACACTCCTAGCGTATTTCTGCTCTGCCGGATATACGAGCCTCAACCTTTGAAACCTAAACCCAAATCCTAAAAACCCTACAATGCTCTCTTCTACATGGTCTTCCTGCTTTGCAACTGAGGCTTCTTTGCGTTGCAGTCTTTGTTGGCGGACTGATCTTTGGAGGTGCGCTCGAAAGAACAAGGAACTGCGTAGGCAGGAGTTTTGTCAGGGTAGCTACACCTCTAATGTTGACGCCGCGGTTGAGGTACTTTATAGCTGCATTTATAACCTGCATAAGAGTACGTTTTAGACCCGCGAGCCTGCCGGAGGATTCCGCCGCTCCCCACAGAAAGCCCTAGTGGACTTTCGAACTTTTTTTACCATGAAGGAACCTCATGTCATGCAAGTTACTACAACAAGAATCATTTGCGGCCCCAAAGATTCATGTCCTTTGCAAACCGCAAGAGTCTGAAGCGTTGAAGCAGACCCCAGAGGCCGAAGCCCGAAAATCCCGGCGCCCATTGGTATGAAGGTCAGAAGCATGTGGGTAGTTGTCAAAATTATGGTACCTTTTGGGGTACCCTAAATAATAGGTGCCGTATTATATTAAGGACCCAAAAAGGGACCATCATTTTGACAACCATCCATGTAGAAATAGTGTAATTAGGCCTTGTAGGTCTTTTTCAGAGTAGAGCATCTCCCAAAACACTACTTTAATATTAGGTGCTGGCCCGAGACCGCCAAAGCCCTCGATACTTTCGGGGGTCTGACAAAGTGGCAATGAGGCCCCGAACTTTGGACCCTAAACCCTGTAGAAAACAGATTCTTGAGGCAGTCGGGGCTCCTAACACAACGAAACCCTGCCAGGGTCCTCAAAGGATCCCACAAATCGAACCCCCGAAAAGGTTCCCTTTTCCCATCTTCATTCCATTGCTAGACGATCTCTCGGAAGATTCTGGTTTTGTCTCGGTCCGGTGAAGAAGAAGTGCTTTCAGGAAAGCTCCTGGTGATTCCGGCCGTGCACCGTACATCCTAAACCTGGGCCTTCAACCAAGCCCTGAACCCTTTTAGGGTTTAGGGTTAGAAAGTCCGATGGACCTCTGTTGTTTAAGCTTGTGAAAACCCTATGCAACCATCCCTAGAAGGACCCTAAGCCCTAAACCCCTATACCCCTAAACCCCTAAACCCCTGAACCCCTGAACCCTGAACTCCTTAACCCTAAACCCCTTAACCCTAAACCCTATAACTATAAACCCTATTAAAACCCTAAGCCTCTTGACATCCTCGAAAGTCGGGGGGCTCTCCCTCGCTTTCTGCAGGCTTGGGCCTCGCCTCCTGGCTCCGCACCTGAGAGAAATGGGAGGAAAAAAAGAGGGGACTTAGGGTGTACCTTAACCCCAAATATCCTACCTTTTTAAGGACTTACATAAAGGGACTTAGGGTTTAGGGATTAAGGGTTTAGGGGTTTAGGGGTTTAGGGTTTAAGGGGTCTAGGGGTTTAGCGTTTAGGGTTTAGGGGTGTAGGGCAGTGTAGGGTGTAGTAATGTGCAGTGGGGCTTTAGGGGTTTCAGGGCCTTAAGGCTTAAGGTTTTGAGGCTTTGGATGTCAGGGGCTGGAGTCTAGGGAAGGAGCGGATTCAGTGTTGTTGGGTCCATGGGACTTTTCTTTGGCATCGAGCGCAGCTTGAGGATGTTCAGAATTTTGCAGGCGGCGGGGTTGGAGTTAGGTTAACACCCTTATGGCAACCTTTATGGTGACCTATCCATAGAGTAACCGCACTCGGAGGTGCTTCATCATCATACCATGGTAAGGAAAGCCCCAAACCCTAAACCCTAAACCCTAAACCCTAAGTGGATCAGCCCTTCATTACGAGGGGCACAGGACTTTCAGGGCTTCCTCGGACTTGCAGGGCGAGCCTTGCTTTAGAATGTGCAGTGTGCCAGAGCTGGGGGTTGTGCATACCGTCCTGGATTAGTGTAAGTTGTTTCTGCTTTCGAAGTGGCTGGAGGAGACTATGTGGGGTCTCAGAAAATAGGGGACCCTAATATAGTACCCTAAATAGTAGGATCCCTATGGTAACGATCCCAAAATACGGTACTCCTTATTTTCGGAAACTCCCATGTCTCGGAAAAATCCCTGCACAGTTGCAATTCGAGACCGGAGCTGGCCCAAAGCAGCGAGCCACAGGTGACCTGATTGGGAGAGGCTTCCAGGTGCCACACTCCGGACCCGGGCTTGTAGCACGCCGGTACTTATGCCTCACACTTCACCTCTGAGGTAAGAACGGCCATGAAGAGCAGAGACTAAGAAGCGACAGAGACTAAGAAGCGACAAAGCATCAGATACTCTCCGAAGTCGAGCTCCGAGCGATGGGCGACCAAGCGTGCTGTGCCCCGACTGCAAAGAAGCTCGACTTCCCATCATCATGTCCGAAGGTCATCGGAAGCATCGTCTCTGCCACTATCAAAACCCTGGTTGCTAGTCTTGCTACCGTGTCAGGAGCATGGCGACCACATCGGAGCGCATCAAGAACCTTGACCCCTGGCATTGTAGCTTTGAGTGCAGCGGTCGAATTTGATGATTTAAGGTTCAGGGTTTGTTAATGCTGACTTCTGGAGACACTGCTGGAATTGTTGAATCTAGCTTCCATCTTTCTGATGTGTTGCTGATGCAAGGCTAGACCTAACCAGCGAGCTTGCTGATAGCAGCTTGCTTCAAGAAGGATGCGAACGGATGCCAGTACGGCTGGACGCTTTGCATCTACTCGCGCCCCTAATGCCCAACCCCTAAGCCCTAATTTCTAAAGCACCGAAGCCGTGGAACCCTGAACCTTGTGTAGAAGCTCACTCCGAAGCGGCCGAGACCGCGCTCTAGCAACATCGCATCCCTTTCGTCACCAAACCAGCGTTGAAGAAATTGGGGTTTAGGGTTCGCCATACTTTTACAAGCATACTAGATCTGCCTGACATCTTGCTCATATCAAGATCACTGCCGATTGCGGGTGTCATGTTAAAAAAAGCACGCGGCCTCTAGACATGCACTTTATCTCGTGCGATCCAAAGTATCAGTGAGCCTTGACTTCTCCCGATGATCAGAAGACGGGCGATCGTTGCTATGGGCATTGTCATGATGATGATAAACGCTTGCTGAAACGCTGGCGACTTCTCGTGCTGCTTCAACCCCAGCACCAGCGCCACCTCCACCGTCACCTGGTGCAGTAGGAGCATGCCGATGCTTACCTAAGGACTGTTCGTCGTCTGTCTGGGTGACGAAGGACCAGCGCGAAGCAGGCCGTGAGCATGCAGTGTTTGATAGCAGCTTCAACGGTAGCCCAACTCGCCAGCCAGCACGAGAGCCCCTACGAAGGAGGCTTCACCGAAAGCTTTAGGAATTGCGCTGATCTGGTGTCCCACGGCCCATGGGGCTCACCCTACTTCCCTTCACCCAAAATCCACACCTAACTCTGCACACATCCGACAGAGGCCTCAAGTATCTGGTGGAGAAGCACGCAAGGCCGGGGCGGACAGGATCTTAGGTCAGACTTTCTCTTTAGGCTTCAAGAGTTTGGGTCTTTGCAAAGATTTGGATATTGAAGTGTTTTGTTGTGGTGCTCCGGCAGCCCAGGGCTGGAAGGAGTGGGGTTCATATCGCAACACCACCAGGTCTCAACAAACCATCCGACAGATCCAAGCTACGGCTTGTGTGCTGCTGCTGCGACAACGACGACAGCTACGACGGCTAGTGTTATGGCCATTGCGACAGCCATGGTTAGTTGATTGAGGAAAGCCGCAGCTCTACCTACTGCACATAATTTTCGCATCCGCCAATGCTATCCAGCTCAATCCAACAGTGGCAGCAGCACCTGTGGTGGAATTGGTGGTCGCCGTCCGCCTCATAGCAAGAGCGGAATCATCATCGATGTGGCGGTAGTCCCCGGTGTCGTCGCATTCGTCGTCGTGGTCGCCATCTTCGTCACCATCGTCAAAAGGCTAAGGGCCGGCGACATGCCAACATCCCTAAGCTGCGTGAAAGTTACATAGCTGTGCTCTGACTCTTCCACGGTAGCTAAGATGTTACGTTACTCGTAAGTCCCTCCATTCCCCGGGTTCCCTTGCTATTGGTCTTCTAGTTCCTGCCCTTGTTCACCATGCACTGACGAAACTGTCAGCGTCGCTAGCACGTCTGTCAAGGCAGGGTGCCGCCATCACCGCCCGCACCCTCTCCGGGCTGGTGGTCAACGCAGAGGCCGCTGCATAGACTGGTAGAAGTACTCCTTTCCAATTCCGGTTGTAACTCCTGCACCTTGGGCTATGATACCTTGAAGGCTACTAGACAGCATTCATCAATGTGTTTGCAGACTTTCTTGGATGTCTCAAGGGCACCTCGAAGAGCTCGGAGTTGGAATTGGTCGTAGCATGTTCCGTATGGCCAGCTCGGCATGACCGCAATTATCTTGGAAGTTGTAGCAGCCTTGCACCGGCAACAGTGGAAGACAGGATTGGTGTCACTAAACAGCAGCAGTCCAGAAGGTCAGAATACTGATTCACAGCGGCAACTCCCCAAAGCTCCGAACCATCAGTCAGAGCTGTCCCCACAGGAGGAGACAGCCCGCCACTTGGAAGCAGATAACGAAGAGTCCGGAACCGTCCCGAACCACTTCGAGGTTTTAGCAAAGGGAGTTTCGTGCAGTGGACGTCTTTGACGTAGGAGCCTTGCGTGTCATCTGCTTGACATTGGGATCCCCGTACTTCTGAAGGCCCAGTCAGAGGGCTTCTATGCCATAAGTTTTCCTGCCTCGCCCAGGCCAGGAAGCCGCGAAAAGCCAGTGGGGGCGCCCAGTCACCTCCAAGATCCTAGCAGCCTTTCGCGGAGTTTACAGCACGTCCTCCACAAAGTGGGTCGTTCTTCCAAACCCCTCTGGGTGCTGTTGCTTCTGCAAACCAAGCCCGAGAGTCCCTTTGGGATGTGGAAAGAGTACCCCTGCGACCCCGGGAAGCCGTCGAAATCGTGAGCTGCGGATGCTTTACCGCGGAGAGACCTGCTCTGCTGTCTCGTCTTTTCAAAGGACCGTCCTCGACGAATCCCTAAGAAACCCTCGACCCGAAAGGACGGGAGCCCCATTTAATGGCAACATTGCGTTGCTCCGTCCTTGGATGTTTGTCCGTGACGAGAGATCGTGAATCAAGGGGCGGACTGGCGACCGTACTGAGATGTACTAACAAAGAGCCAGGTGGTCAGTCTTACCCAGAAGCAGCACCTGGGCAGGAAGCGGCAGCGGGAAGGTGAGCTCAATGAGCTCGTCGAGGCATTCTGCAGACGGGTTGGTGGTCTAGGGGCCGGGGAGCTTACGCCCAGAGGTTGAGTTCGCGATGCATGTGAATACAGGTCAGTTTTGGGGGCTTCGGCGCGCATGCATGCCCTTGCCACATCTTGCCACCAAGCCTGTCGTTGCGAATAAGTGGGATACACCAGCCTTCCCAAAGCCTTGCTCGGAACTCTGCCCGAGACGACGGCCTTGTGAAGCCTCGCAACAGATCCTGCACCCGTTGTGATCCAAGCCTACATGGCGGCAGGAGATGGCGAAAGCCGACGGAGAGGCAATTGCGTCTTGCTTCGACGGGCTCGGGAGTTGGGGATGGAAGTCTTGCGTATCGGCTCTCAAGCACCATGCTGATCCCGCTGCGTCCCACGACACCGTCAGTTGTTGACTCAGCTCTGCGATGAACCGTGATCTCTGAGCCCTACAAAACCCTCAATCCGCTCACTTGACGACATGCAATGCCATTGCCCTCTACCTTGAGCGCAAGAGTCTCTGAGTGGTTGGGCTCTTGCAGCTCTGCCTGTAGGTGAAGGCCCCAACGACGTCCCTCTTCTCCGGTATCCGGCAGGCAGCACCCTGGGTGTTGTCTCAATCTCAACAATGCCACTACTGTGACTCCTCCCGCCTCCCACTGGTCCTACTGGTCCTACGACAGCTGCGAGTGCTAGCTGCAAACTGTAGTCTTCATGCGCTGAATGTTGATGAGTATTAGCGGATCCTCCACAGTCTTCTTGTTGGCAGATGTTGTCCGCAGAACCTCCAAACTTCGAGAAGCAACAGTCGTCTGCTTCGCCAGTCAGGGCCCTGAACAGGTTCGGCTCAGCATGGCATAAAGCCTGGTCTTGAAAATGTCGAGCCCAGACATCAACGAAGCTCCAAACCAGACATGCCTTTGAAGCCGTTTGGCCACAACGTTTAAGCAGCCTTCAACAATCCCTCAACCCCCTTGCAGCCCTCAAAAACTCTACAACCCAAGGCCCTCAAACCCGAAAGCCCTAGAACCCTCCGGCCATGGAGCACACTTGGAGGATCATGGGACGTAGTAAGTAGGGTTACAAGTCCCTTAATTGGGGTTATAAGTAAATATATGTATAGTTACCTTAATTATAGCCCTACTTACTAAGTCCCATGATCCTTTAAGCAAGCCGTCTCCGCAGGGCGCGGCCGATGCCAAGAAGAAGAAGCCGAGCGTCCTCGTCGTGTCCTCTGGGCTCTCTGCTATTAAGACAGGCCCCCAAGTTGTACGATCCTTACTATCATGGCCAGATACCTCTCAGTTTCAGAGACTACGACTTTTTGGACCTTTTGGGTTTTGGGGTGTCAAGGTTCAAGGGAGTGGATCCGAGTAACCTGAGGCCCTGAGTGACTGGCAATGGTGTCCACGGGGCTCCAAAACCCTTCAATCAAGGATGATCCCTTCAGGATCAATCGGCACCCCCAAAAATTATACTCATACTATAGTCGACTTCCGTGTGCGCTTAAACCGCAACAGCCTTGACATTCGACCCTGCAGCTCCAGGCCGAAGCCTCCAAAAGGACCTTATGTCTACCTCAAATCGGAGAGTTTTTTCACGTGCAAGTTTCGGGTGTCGTGAGGTGGTCAAGAAGCAGAAGGTGGAGGAGGCGGCTGGAGACGCAGCTGGTGAGGAGGCAGCTGCGGAGGAGGCTACCACTGCCGCCCCCGAGGCCTGGACTTGGCTTTCTTAGAGCTACTCGTGGTTTTCGGTCTCATGGGCCGATGCTGTTGCTTTGTGGGACTACACTTAGAGGGTCCGCACAGATGAGCATGCTCGGCAGAATTGCTGCTGCCACTAACCAGCATCACTGCTGCTGCAGGACTAGGAATTCGGGCTAGTACCACCACGACGACGCAGCAGGACCGCCACCACAACCACCACTGCTAATGCCACTACACACCTGCTACCACCACTTCTCCAACTAATCCTACTACCATCTGCAAATGCCTAGGCCCAAAATCTTGCCCCTACAACCCAGATCCCACACGCTACTAACAGCCGCAAGCCCAAAAGCCAGACCCCTCAGCCCTAAAAACCCTGCACAGTAAAACCCCAACAACTGCAAACCTCGAAATCCAAGAAGCCTAAAAAAACCCGAGAAAATCTAAAGCCCCAAACCCATCAACCTCGGCATCCAGGCCACAGGCCTCGGTCTCGGCGCCTACGACAGCGGCAGTGAAGAGGCAAGGGTAAGCGGGGGCTCTACTGGCATGGGGCTCCTAGCATTGGAGGCTCTCAAACCGATAGGGCTTTGGGTTTTTGAGTGTTGCGCTTTCGTGTTGTGGAGTCAGGTGTCTTGAAGGAGTGTATCGTGTTGGGTCCGTGTCTCTGGGCGTGTTAGAGTGGCTTCAAGGCTTGAGTAGAGTCCTGATAGTTTACGACATCCTTCGTTTAGCATCCCCATCTAGCTGCGGTGCTGTTATAGTTAAGTCTCGCTCTGATAGAAAACAACAGCAACAGTAAGACCATGGTCGCACAAGACAACGGGCTTGGCACATCACGAGCGGTGTGTTTCTCTCTTTTTATCACATCCTCTAGTCCCTTCTCGAGCGGCTTGCTCTGTTTTCCCAAATGACCGGATCCCGTTCGAGCGGTTTGCCCTATCCCTGTGGTCACGAGTATCCTGCTGAGTTTCTCCAGGAAAAGTCGTCGTCACTATGACTTGTGTCACGAAAAGCCCCTTGCCCCCAGGATGAGTCTGAAGAGACCTGAGTGCCATCCTCGGGGGGCCCGGCGTGCCCTTGCCCTTTGGTCCTTTGGGGCCCTTAGGGTTTGGGGATTTAGTCTTGCTGATAGGTGCTTCTATAGAGGGCTTGCTAAACGACTCATTATTAGGATTCTAAGATGCTTTCGCGGTTCAGAGTTGAGGGCCCTCACCGTGGGTCCATTCATCACTCTTTTTGCCTGCGTGTCTGTGCATGGCACCGCGGGAATCATGTTCAAGATGCTCTAGGCTCGCTTGAGATCCTGGGCTCAGAAATCGCCACCAAGGAGGAGGCCTGATGAGCCGGCGGAGGCTCAAAGGGGCCCCAGCGGTTTGGCAATGGCCACTGTACATAGTGATCGGCTCCCTCAGGCACGGCGAAAACGTGCATGAAAGGGAGTGGATAAAGGGATGAAGTGATGTCCCCCTACTGGACCCAGTTTGGAGTCTGCAGAGCGCCCTCCTGCAGTCTCGCGGGCTTCGCAGTCTGCATGACCCGGCACTGTGTCCAGGGTTGAGACGAGAGGCTGGGATCTGCTTGAAGAAGGCAACGGCACCTTTCGCGAGTCCGCGTAAATGGGCCGAGTTGGCGAGTGGGCCGCGTGCATCAGGCATTAACGAAGGAAGGAGGCCTGCAGGCCGGTAGATTGTAGCATGCGTGGAATGTCGATGGGGAAGAACCGGATTGTGACGCAGGCCTGTTACCCTCAAGCTTGTTCATACAATCGCTGTAGCTTCTCTCTTTCGACCATGGCGGCTGCAGATGTGCAACAGCAACCGCGAGACGAAGAGATGCAGACTTATACCCTGGTGCCTTGCCTGCACTCGCTGCGTACCGGATCGACGCAGAAAGGAAGAAGGCTTTCAAAGCCAGGCTTCAAGGCAGAAAGAGTACTACAAAGAGTGATCCACGACTGCCACGTCTCTCTCACAACTCTTTCAGCCACGGGTATCGTTGCAGCTTGGGCCAGCTTGGCCTTTGGATTCAGTACGAGTTTGGAAAAAGGTTCGTCAGTGTTTGAACTAGGCGACTAACGCGATGAAACGTTGCCACCACCCAACAATCGGAAGCACAACAACAGCACCGGTGGCCACAGCAACAACCTGCTGCTGCCTCTGCTACTGCTGCTGGATGTCGCCTCCGCCGGCGGTTGCGGTGGTCACAAACCGTCCGGTGGAGAGTGACACACAACACACGAAAACACGTGCAGTCAGAAGAGGAGCAGAAAGAAGGTGGGCAGCGCAAGGGTAAAACGAAATTGTTTTATCAGGTGAATCATGACAGCTGGAACCTCATGTCACTGCCCCCCCCCGCCCGGCCGTGCAACTTTCCCCAGTGTACCGGGACTGCTCTCAATGTAACTGCAAGGTTTCAGTACCTGACAGGAAGCTGAGAGCAACCTCCGTAAGATGCTGACTTCCGAAGACTGGGTCCCTTAGATATGTGTTGTCTTTATTGTAAAGATCCTGCAGCGCAGAATCTCTTCCTACGGTTTTGCTTATTCTGGGGAAAGTCACCTATGTCCAAGGAACATCAGACTGCGCCCACACTCGATCGGACAGAGTCGCAGGCTCGTCCACATTCTGGCCACCTTAATGTACAGAAGGGGTCATGGGTCGTTTGTAGAGCATAGGAGCCTGAACAGTGAACACTGTCACTCCTTGGGTAGTTCCTGCTGCTTACAGAAAGTCAGAACCCCCTCAAACCTCCTTGAATTCCAGGGGTATGTTCATGATTCACAGCGTCAGGAACTCGGGCTTTAAGGTTCACGGGGGGCCGTTTTGAATGCAAAAGGTGTCAGGGCTTGGTGCATCTTGGCTTAAGGCCGAAAGGGGTTTCACTCTTTCACTCAGCCTTTAGGCCCCTTCGAAATCATCTGAAGTCGCATGAAACCTTGTACGAGCTTTCGAACCACCGGAAACCCCAACCAGAAGGAGGTTCTCGTTGCAAAGCACCATTCTGGGGTAGTGGATTTTCGCTTTGAAAGTCAAGTCTGGAGAAGAAGGAGAAGAAGAAGAGCAGGAACAATCGCAGCGGCAGTTGCGAAGAACTATGTAGCACAAAGAAATCAGTGGCAGTAAGAATGCTGGCAACAAGAGAAGAAGAAGGAGCATAGCCATCAGTCTCAGTCAGCACGAGTGAACTCTGCAACAAGGCTCCCGAAGAGGCACACATTGAACTCCCTGGGTGGAACAAGTACGCAAAACCGTTGTTGGCGACTGCTTGAATACATACGAGCTGAAGAATTTCGAAGTAGTGGATCGGGGAGTCCAGTATTTCTGCTCATGATGGCTTCTGTTTCAAGGTGTACGCTGAACACGAAACGCGGAAGATCGTTTTCCGATCACCACTACAGTGACAAGGGCACATGCCATTTTCATGCAAGGGCATGGCTAACCTAGCACGGAGCTTGCACCTCGAGTGATGACATATTGCAGACAAGGATTCTGCAGAGCAGATTTGTCGTGTCACTTCGCCGTCCACCGTGTATCCTTTAGCAACCCTGAAGACCCAAGGCTACCGGAGCCCACACCCTGAAACCCTCAGCGGTCGATTTCCTTAAGTCAAAGCCCGCCCATGGAGTCTCGAAACTCCTTTGAGGAGGGCCTTGTGGGGCTGGGTGGTATGGGTCGTTCTCTCCTTTCGGGTCCGCTTCAGGATCGGGAATAGCAGAGTGACGCACTATTTTCGGATCCGAAATGGGGCCCTGATATGGGATTTCATGTCCGTAAATCAAACCCGAAGCCCTCAACCGTAACATACTACACTCCGCCCTAACTCTCCCACAGCTCCTGAAACACCTGCGATGGCCAGGTTGAGAAGCAGCTGAAGGCTCGATACTTCACCGAAGCCCCGAAATCCTAGGCCTCTACCCCAACATCCTAAGCGCTTAAGCCCCCTGCTAAACCCTGAATGTGCGAAGAACATGCTCATGCACCCAGCTGAACTTAGTAACTCGGGCTGTGGCCGTTGCGTCCAGTTTTCACCCCCTCGCATAAGACTGTTCCAGTGGAGGCTTCTTCCCAAGGCTGGCCCCTTCCGGATCTTTTTCGACATCAGCTGGCTCGTTAACTAACCAACGACCTGGCTAACTACCTACCTACTACCTGCTAAACTACCTACCGACCTACCTAATTACCTACCCACCTACTTACCCAGGAGTAGCAGTAGGGGTAGCAGTAGTAGAAGTAGTAGCAGCAGTAGTCGTGGTGGTCGGTAGCAGTAGCAGTAGTAGTACAAGCAGGAGTAGTAGCCCTAGTAGCAGCACTAGCAGTCGTCGCTAGCTAAGTTGATAGTTAGTTGTCGAGTGAGTGAGTCAGTTAGGTGCTTAGGGTTCGGTAGGTAGGTAGGAAGGTAGGTAGGAAGGAAGGTAGGTGGGTGGGAGGTAGATAGGCCGTAGATAGGTAGGTAGTAGACAGGTAGGTAGGCAGGAATGTGGATAGGCAGTTAGGTAGTGAGTTAAGCAGGTAGGTACTCCTGCTGCTGCTACTACTACTACTACCACCACCACCACCACTACTCTTACCAAGGCTGCTGGTCCTACCAGGACGACGACGACTACTATTGTTACTGTTTATATTACCATTATTTTTTTCAGTATCGTCATCATTATGATGATTCCCACGACTTTCGCGCCACATCAATCGCAGAGGTGCATCAGGTGCAGCAGCGGCTCGCCGGTCAGCAGCAGCCTGTCCGTGAGCTGCTGGCCGGAAGGGTGGTCTCTTTTTGTGGGACGGGTAGGGTTACTGGGGTTTCGGGCTTTGGACCAAGCTGGGTTTGGGAGTTCAGGCTTTAGGTCTTTGAGTGAAGAGGTTGTGGGAGTTTGGGTTTGTGCTGAAGGTTCAGAGTTCCAGGAATTCATTGGGCTTGGTGCATGCCTTAGGAACCTCACAGGGCGTTGGCGCTTGTGATCTGATTTGAAGCGCCGGCCTAACGGAGCCTCGCGCCTTGTTTGTTCTGGTGCAGGCTGCGGCCCGCTCCTCGGCCCCGAGTGGCGAAGCGCCTGCGGAGATGCTCGAGGAATCCCGCTCTATATATATATATATATATTATATTATATGATATAATATAATATAATATAATATAGTATAATATAATATAATATAAGATAATATAATATAATATAATATAATATAATATAATATAATATAATATAATGTAATATAATATGATATAATATAATATAATATAATATAATATAATATAATATAGACTTTTATTTCATAATGGTTCCTTTAAGGAACAGGTCCCAAAAAAAAGTATTAAAGTATGGTACTCCAAAGCCCAGGATCTGGGTTCCGGCCATGGTGCCTGGCTTAGGGTTCAGGGGTTTAGGAAAGTGTTTAAGGCGGCTTAGGGCTTTAGGGTTTAGGATTTGGGGTCGAGGGCTTAGGGTTCAGGGGTTCAGGAAAGTGTTGAGGCGGTTTAGGGTTTTGGATTTAGGGGTCTAGGGTTTAGGGTTTCGGGTTTTAGGGTTTAGGGTTTTAGGGTTTTAGGGTCGTAGGGTCTTGGAGTTCAGGGTTTAGGGTTTAGGGACTTTCCAGTGTAGGGTTGAGGGTATAGGAAAGTGTAGGGTTTAGTTTGGGGTTCACCAATAGTCTCTCGATTGTAGCTCCGTTTTGGGGTCACCTTCTAGGATCCTAAATTCCTATATTTGTAATTACTGGTTCAGCCAAAACAGGAACTACAATGGCAACTTTTGGTAATGTTTTAGGAATTTTATTGGGGTTTAAGGTTGACATGTATCCTCAAACATAAATGCGAATGCCTCAACACTGAGGGGTCCGTCTTGGGCTGGCCATGTTGGGTACAAATCGGTGCAAATTAACTAATAACTATTACCAAACGATGGAGATGAAAGTATTGTGTACGTATGCCCTTTTATTCAGCTGCTATTAACATTGAATGCTTCTTAGGTTGGTTTATGTATTGAAGTCCCTACTTCGCCAACAAGCCAGGGAAATAAAAGGTTAAACTTTCAGATTACTACTAAACTATAAGAAC